CACTTGTCTAATGTGAGTAGGCATCTAGGTGCAGACATGCAGACAAATTTGGTACATCTATATAAAGATGATCAATGGCCGAAAATTAATGAAAAGAGATAAAATGTTGTGACATTTTTTTATAGTGCATTTGCAGATAACTATAAGTGCATTTCAAAACTCTTGTGGTAACATAAATGAGGAAGGTGATAAGAATCAGGTAGTGTCTTCCATGCACTCAAAGCATTTCCAAATGTACTATCAAGCATCTCTAAATACACAATCGTTATTACAAAAGAACACATAACTATAGGATTGTGCATTTAGAAATGTTTGATAATGCATTCACGGATAACTAAAAGTGCATTTCAAAACTCTTGTGGTGACACGAATAATGAAGGTGATGAGAATCAGGTAGTGTCTTCCATGCACTGAAAGCATTTCCAAATGTACTACCAAGCATCTCTAAATACACAACCGTCATTACAAAAATTACATAACTATACTCTAAGCATTTTCAAATGCACCATAAAGCATTTCTAAATATTCAATTATAATTATAAAAAATTACAAAATTTTCATCACATTTTTCTTCATTTTCATTAATTTTCAGTCTTTGATCATCTTAGATGAACGAACCAGATTTGTTTGCATGTCCGCATTTGAACTAGGTTATATATATTTGTGTGTCTGTGGGTGGGTGGGGGTGTGTATATATGTATATAATAAATTTAAATTAAAGAATTAGTAAGTAATATTAAAACTAATATCTAATTTATTTTTTTAAAAAAAAAAACTAATATACATGAAGTAAAGATTTTTAAAAATCCTAGTTTTTTTTTTGAATGCTAGTTAATTAGTCCTACATTTAATTAAAAAAATTGAATAGTCAAAGACCAAATGTAATTCATATATAATTGTCATATCACCAAAAGTGAAATTTATTTTTTACAATATCAATTATCAAATCTTAACCCCCAAAATTCACAATTCTAAATACTAATTCTACAAATCTGTCTTGACCGCTGGCTAGATAAATTCGTAAATCTTCTTTCTTGGTTACTATTATCACTAATTGTTTATGAGGCACAACTAGTATCGGTATTGACGGTAAATATGTTACCGGATAATATTATATGAATAACAATAGTTGCATAAGTGAACTGAGATAATTTGTATTGCTAAGTGTTCAGTCTTTTCAGTACAGAATATGGCGTGTCCCTTCAAGCTGAGGGGAGCTCTATTTATGCTAGGTCCTAATGGTAACAACATGAAGAGTCATAATTGGGGAGCTGAGGCTAACGGCAATAACATGAAGTCATGAATAAGGCGCTGGGGCTTTAATTCTCTACCTTCAATGCAATGAATGGCCATAATGTTTCCACCCGTTGGTGTTCTGCCTGTTGGAATTCCATGCGGTGTCGGGTTAGATGCCTGTTGGTGATCCAGGTCGGGTGCTAGCACCATTACACTATCACCAGTCCCCCTACTCCCGAGTTTGAGGATGTGTTTGAGCTGACTTGGGAGTAAAACTGAATCAAAGATCCCCATCATTTTTTTAACCAAAGTCCCGGAGGTCGACCGAGGCGGGATTCAGCAGATGATTGCTGATGTTGGCCGATGCGCGGGGCCTCGGCCGATGATGGCTGATGCTAGCCTAGTCGCGCGCCTCGGCCGATGATGGCCGATGCTAGTCGAGGCGCGGGGCCTCGGCCGATGCTATCTGAGGCGCGGGGCCTCGGCTGATGATGGCAGAGGCGCCCCATGATGGCCGATGCTGGCCGAGGCGATGGCAGAGGCGTGCGCCTCGGCCGATGTTGGCCGAGGCGGGCGCCTCGACTGATGATGGCCGAGGCGTGGGCCTCGGCCGATGCTAGCCGAGGCGCGGGGCCTCAGCTGATGCTAGCCGAGGCGCGGGGCCTCGGCCGATGCTCGCCGAGGCGGGCGCCTCAACCGATGTTGGCCGAGGTGGGCGCCTCAGCCAATGATAGCCGATGCTGGCCGAGGCGCGGGGCCTCAGCCGATGTTGGTTGAGGCGTACGCCTCGACCGATGATGGCCGAGGCGGGCGCCTCAGCTGACCTCGGCCTCTTTTTTTTTTCTTTTTTTTTTTTTTTGCTTGTTTGTTCGTAGCTTACTTCGATAGGCCGTAGGTTCGGTCGAAGGTCAGCTCTTCCGTAGAGTAGTGAGCGAGGTCATACCTCGTATTACCCTTAGGGAATAGCGTTTTCGTAACCAAACTATGAGCTTGGCCAAGGAAGCGCCCTTCCGTCGGGTAGCTAGCGGGATCGGATCCCATGCTGGCCCTTAGGGAATGGAGTACGTGTAGGGTAGTCAGCGAGGTCAGACCTCGTACTGACCCTTAGGATATAGCGTTTTTATAACCAAACTATGAGCTTGGCCAAGAAAGCGCGAGGGTGGTGGGCGTTCAATTGCTTGTGAAAATATCCTGATCTTAGGGCATGGATGAATATTGGGATCGCCGCCTTAGAGTCAAAGTCGTAGACATTATTGACTTCCCTTTTCCATTTGTTTTGGAAATCCTTGAGGCTCTCACCTCTGTCTTGCTTTATTACGCAAAGGTGAGAGAAGGGTTTCTAACGTTGTATGCTGCTGGAGAAGTATGTGAGGAATTTTTTGGACAACTCTTCAAAATTTTGGATCGAACCATTTGGGATGGTATTGAACCAGTCTTGGGCCGCTCCATCCAAGGTGGACAAGAATGCCCGGCACATGACGGCGTCCCCCGCCCCGATCATTACCATAGCGGCCTTATATCTCGTCATGTGAACGCGCGGGTCGGCGGTCCCTATGTATGCTTTGATGGCGGGCAACCTAAAGTCTCTCGGCAGAGGCGCGTCCATTATACTTGCGTAAAATGGGGCTGCCATCCGCACCTCGGGTTCCGGCGACTGTTCGCTCGCCTCTACCTTCTTCGCTAACTCTTCAATTTTTCTTTGCAGCCTCTCGACCAGGGCTGAATCGTCAGGGTGCCGGCGCAGAGCCGACTCATCAACGTGCCGGCGCGGGGCCGACTCATCAATGTGCTGCTCATCTAGGTGTCGACGTGGAGCTGACTCATCAACATGCCAACGCGGGGCCGGGTCATCAAATTCGCCCATTTCCTCCGTGGGTGATCTCTCTTCTGCTTTGCTTTCGTGTCGGCGATGGCCTCTGGTAGAAGATTCCTCGGCTCGTGATCCCAATCTTTGCCGCACAGGAACCCTATGTCCCAATCGTCCGAGGGCAGACTGGGCAGATCCTAGTCGTCGTCTCGACGGTCCACTTCTTTGGGCGCCCTCCTACAAGCCCCCTGTCCCGGTGTGTCGTCCCGCGTCCCTCGCCGCGTGGGCTGTGTCGCGTTGTTGCTGGGTTTCTACCTTTCGTGGGGACTCCACCTCTATTTCCTGGAGCCGCGACGGGGGCACTTGGCCTTGCAATCCCGCCATGGCCTGAGTTAGTGCCGTCGCCGCCTGTTGAATGGCTTCGGCAGTCGCCTGGAGGTTCATGATTGGGTTTGTCCCTCCGTTGTTTAGTTGCTCTCGGAGGTCTCCGGCCCTCCCGCCATTGAGTTGTTCTCGGAGGTTTCCCCCACGGTTGTTGGGGAGTTGATCCCACAGATCACCTGAAGCATTGCCATTGTTCATGTTGCGGGAACCGTGGGAGCTGCCGGATCCTGAGCGTGCCATTCTTTCAAGCTTGTCGTTGAAAGAGAAAGTTGTGTGCGTTGTTGTGTGTGTTTGGGTACTTGAGTGTTGATCTTAGGCTCTCAATGAAAGCACCAATGAGGGTAAATATGTTACCGGATAATATTATATGAATAATAATAGTTGCATAAGTGAACTGAGATAATTTGTATTGCTAAGTGTTCAGTCTTTTCAGTACAGAATATGGCGTGTCCCTTCAAGCTGAGGGGAGCTCTATTTATGCTAGGTCCTAACATTAACAACATGAAGAGTCATAATTGGGGAGCTGAGGCTAACGGCGATAACATGAAGAGTCATGAATGAGGCGTTGGGGCTTTAATTCTCTCCCTTCAATGCAATGAATGGCCATAATGTTTCCACCCGTTGGTGTTCTGTCCGTTGGAGTTCTGCCTGTTGGAATTCCACGCGGTGTCGAGTTAGATGCCTGTTGGTGGTCCAGGTCGGGTGCTAGCACCATTACTCTGTCAGGTATATTAAAAAAAATTAATGGCTTTACATATTAAATATGCTTTTAAATAGGCTTCAAGTCCGACCAAACCAATTGTATGCTCAGAAGTCATAATTGAGCCTTAAAAAAAAAAAAAAAAAAAAAACAGCCCAGATTGGGACTTCAGATTTTTGGAACGTTATGTTGTGCAACCGTGTGCACCATGCAAGGTGCGCACAGTTCCAATTCATAATTTTTATACTGTAAATTCATAATTTTTAAATCGTAGATTCATAATTTAAATACAGTAGATTCATAATTTCTATATTGCAGATTCATAATATATGTACTGTAGATTCATAATTTCTAAACTGTATAGTTATCAAATTATGAACACAGAGTTCTATGATTTGTGAATACAGAGTTCAACAATTGAGAATATGAATATCGAAAATTATGAACATATAGCTCTATAATTATGAACATATATTTATAAAATTATGAACATATAGCTCTATCACATGTTCACAAATCTAATAGTCTAATACTGTAGATTCATAATTTAAATACAGTAAATTCATAATTTTTTAAACTATGCGATTGCAAAGAGAGAATGAAATGTTTGAATGCGAAAGGAAACCGCCTGACGCCGTTAATGACAATGAAAAAAGATTTTTTTTTTTTAAATTTAGAATGGCATCGTTTTGCAACAGTGTTCACCATGCATGGTACACGCGATTGCACAACATAATTTGCACAACATAATTTGCCTAGATTTTTACAGCAGACGCAGACCTAATTTTTTAAAATTCGGGCTTGGGCTTATTTTCATCCTAATTAAATATGAGAAATGTGTTCTAACGACGTCGTAAGAATATAAAACGCCGTTGCATTCATGTATACATATTTCCTCCGCTGACGACGGCCGCCGACAACTCCGGGTGGGAGAGAGAGAGAGATCATGGAAAAATTGAGCGTAGAAGAAAGAAAGGCTCTTCGAGGAAGCAAATTCGCTCCTCTTCCATCTGCCCCTCCACCTCGTCTTCAACCCAGGTAAACCCTTCCCCCGCTCCCCGGCCGCATTCCAGGAGTATTATGTATATCCTTTCCTCGTAAAGTATAAATTAGGGCTTGTGTTTAGGCAGGCTCATCCGGGGGGAACTTTGAAGACGAACAAGGCTGCAGCTTTGGCGAAATTCCTCGAGAGAAAATTGCAGGAGCCCGATGGATTGGCCTCTGTTGATCCAAGACTCGTGGAACTCGCAGTGAAAAATGCTCAAGAGACTGTTCAATCAAGTAATTACTCCTTCGTTTGCTTTTTTGCTTCTAATTTTCATGGATACTAATAGAGGTAGTTTATCATATGATTTTTGCTTCAATTTAGTCTCTCGAAATATTCCTTTTACAAGTTCTAACTCTTAAAAGCATATTAGTATTTGCATCAGAACATTAAATTTGATTAATTTGTTGCTTATCTTTTGTTTTTAGAAAGGTGAAATTTTCATGTGCTTTCAGCTATGTTTTACCCATTTTGACATATTGCTTAATCCCAGTCAATAGAGGCTTGGTGCTTTCATCATATGCAGAATTAAGGAGGAAGTTTATTGTTTTTGCTTTTACTTTATGCTCATAAATCAGATGAAGTTCACCAACAGATAGAAAAATTAGGAGACTACTGATTTTCTATATTTAATGCTACTGTTTCTTTAATATTTATCCTGGCATAACTCATAAGTTGTGAAATTTGCTGGAGAGGCTGTAATGTTTTGTTTTGAACCTGGAACCTCAGAAGAAATATGAAGGTGTGACTTTTTTTTTTTGGGTATCAACTTAGAAATGTTACAGAAGTGCTATAATTATTGATATTGATTGATTTAACTCGTTGAAGTGCTGTGGAGTACTGTAATTATCAAACGAGCTCAAAACATGTCCACTGATCCTCAGTTGTGTGGTATCCTCCTTCACCTTTCTAGTTTTTGAAGGGTATAAGCAAGTAAGCAACTATGCTAAGCTTGATGATCGGTGATGCTAATAAAACGGAACACATTGCAAAGCAGCTTCATTTGTTCTTTCTTGATTGTGTTAAGCAGAGATGAATGCCTAATTTACGATACCTAAATAGTGATTAGTTAACCAGCTTGGTTGGCATGAGTGGCCGTGCACTCTCATCCTTAAGAGAGGTCGGGAATTCGAACCCCCTCTCGTATGGAAAAACCAATCTGGCCAGCACTTTGCCCCTTAATTGGGCTGGGCCGGTGCGAATGGAGATTAGTCTGAGTATGGTACAGGCTTAAAGGTGCCTCCTACTCAGGACTCATGGTCTGACAAAAAATAGTGATTAGTTATTTCACACAAAATCAGTTGTCTAGTATTCATCTGTAACAGAAGTGCAACCAACCTTTGTTATAGACCAGGATATCTAGGATCGCGTCACAGACTTAGAAACTTAGGAATAAAAACGAAGCTTTTCTGGAGTGCTTCTTCTCCCCAAATGAAGCTTTTTATTGGAGTGCTTCTTCTCCCCTAATGAAGCGTTTTTTTGGAGTGCTTCTTCTCCCCCAATCTTCCATTTAATAGGAAGCCAAAATACAAATTTCCCAGATGTTCCTTCTTCAAGTACATAGGTAGGTATATATACAACACTATAAAATCACCCACTAACCCACTCCTGTATTATAACTACCCATGATTCCACTACAAAATAATAATAATAATAATAATAATAATAATAATAATAATAAAATAATAACTACTGCAACAGTGTCCCATGATCATGGTTGTATCAACCTTTGTGTGGATTTTGCCCCGAGTTGGATAAATATGATATTGTACTTTCACTTTGTAATGAACAGGTGGAACATCTAGTTCAGGAAGAACAGTTCATCATGTGGAATCTTTTGATGATTCTGAGGTGCTTTAGCTTACATTAATCGTCAAATTTTAATCTTTGCCTCTTTTTTTTTTCTATGTTGAACTTCTAAAGAGTCGTGAATTTTGCAGGTTTGTACCGTTGTGGAGGAGGTAAAAGTTTCTGTGCCTAAAAAGAAGAGTAAGAAGCAAAAGAAGGAGTGGAACAAGATGCTAAGAAAAGAAAGGAAAAACAAAAAACAGAAGGTGGTTGTCTGACTTTAATCTATCAACTTTTATGTGCAGCCATCCATCTTCGACTTAGATTCTTTGTTTCTTTTGCAATGCAGATGGGTACCGACGACTAAACACTTGAATGACAATTTTTTTAATTTTTAGGAGAATTCATCCACTAATTTGGTGAAACAATCAATCATTGCAGATTTGCAGACAGGGAATCTAGGTTTCTGGATGGTTTTAAGATTGATAGTAACAATATTTCATTCTTTTTGCACCTTCCTACTGTGATTGTTTAGTGGTCTTTGATCTCTTTCTCTGATGCTTTGAAAAACAGGCAGTGACTTCAAACTTGGAACTATGCAAAATTGCCTTCGAGCATTATGGATTTAAACTTAGAACTACATTATGAGCATATACACCCTTTTTTTCTTGTCAACTACACTAGATCTTGGTGTTTTCATAGTAATGAAAGAAAAAAAAAAACATATAAAATTGCGTGAATCAATACTTTGACAATTGTGCGTTTTGATTCAAGAAGATTGGATTAGTCAACAAATTTTCAATATATTTTTAAGTGAGAGTGAACATGTTTCAAGAAGATCAATAAATAATTCAGGATTTGATCATCTTTTCCGTATAGAGATTTGAGATTTGTGTCTCTTAACAATGGTATTGATCATTATATATACTTTTGCCCATAAAAATTGAATTCCCAGTCCCAAGGGTTTTTCATACTCCGACCCGACAGAACATTTCGGAGTATGTAAATTATGGTAATTTAATGGTTCAACATACAGGATTAAATTGCTGGTGCACATAAGGAACATTGATCTCTTGCTTCAAATACTATCTATTGAATAGTGAGCTAAGCCCGTGAAATGTCCCTTACCCCACATACGACTTACTGAACAGTACTACTAACCAAGTATCATCCTATGTACTCGTTTTCTACCTATTCTTAGGGCATTTTCAATAGTGGGATTTTTAGTGTGGTCTTTGAGAAGTTTTTATTTGTGTAATTAGGAAAGAGAAAATGAGAGGAAATACAAAATAGATTTAAAAAAAAAAAAAAAAAAAAAAAAAAAAAAAAAAAAAAAACGTGCCCAACTAGCGCGAATTGTTCTTCACACAAATGGCTTGCGGCTGTTCATGTTAACAAAAACTCCAAATTAACAAGAGGACTCCATACATTCTCTCACTTGTTTCTCTTTCTTTTATGTTTAGTATTTTTTCTTTAAAAACCGTGAACAATCTCCTTAATGAGATGCTCTTAGTTTCTTACTGAAATCATCATGATTCTTTAAAGTGTAGTGTACTATGAAGGAATTGGTTATACCTCCCGGGCCTCAATTACGTGAATACTCAATAGTTGCATTATGGACCATGGTATATGTAACAACATGCATTTAAGGGATCTTTATTTATTTTTTTTCAACTTAAATTTATTTTACTTCTTTTCTTTTTGTACAAATAAATTAATGTGTAAAAAATATATCATTACATTTTTCTAATTAAGATCTTTAAACGACACTGACATTGATTTTTTTTTTTTAAATATAAATAAAAATATCAAATAGGCTCATGAACTTTACTCAAAAAATCAATCCCTTAATCTTTTAAAAGTTGTAATTAAAATCATAAATATATGATTTTGCAGCATTGAAGCCCAAAAACTGTTTGGTGACCTATAATTACAGGTCACCAGGGTTCCGGCGAAAATTTTTGGTCACTCAACAATTTGATCCAAAATTTTGGTCTGAATGTTGCCGGATCTTAGTGACCTGCAATTGCAATTATAGGCACTAAACGACTTTTGGGCTTAAATGCTGTAAAATAAGATGTTTATTGAGTTTAATTTTCTAAAAATATATAAAATCCATAAATGGCGTGGATTGATATTAATGTCATGTTGAAGAATATAGTATAAAGACACGAGTATATTGGGTTGCATCATATAGTAAGAATACTAATATCAAGAGTACTTAGATACAACCCACTATCAAAATTAGCATATGACCATAAAAATCAGTCGTTATATTATAGAACGCGGTGCATGTGCACCGCGGTCAAAAACGACGCCGTTTCTTTAAGTAAAGAAACGGCCCGCATCATATAGTAAGAATACTAATATCAAGAGTACTTAGATACAACCCACTATCAAAATTAGCATATGACCATAAAAATCAGTCGTTATATTATAGAACGCGGTGCATGTGCACCGCGGTCAAAAACGACGCCGTTTCTTTAAGTAAAGAAACGGCCCGCCGTTAGAGTTAACGGAGTCCGTTTGTTTGGTGTATTAAACACCAACTGACACTACAGTATATCCAAACCGACACTGCAGTTATATCAAAATGATACTATAGTTATAGTGAAATGAAACTGCAGTGTATATAAACTGAAACTGAATAACATTTCACATATTTGAGTGTATATTGTACAATGAAGCTGTAATTATATCAAAATAATCATGTAGTTGTGTTTTAATGAAACTATAGTGTATATAAAATAAAATTAAATAACATTTTCACATATTTGAGTCTATAAATATCGAATGAAACTATAGTTATATCGAAATGAAACTGTAGTTGTGTTCAACTAAAACTGCAGTGTATACAAAATGACACTGAATAACAGAGTTACTTTTTGCAAAAGGGTGCGAAACGGCGGAAATAAACACTGTTAATTTTCATTTAAAAAAAAGACGTGCGGTGCATAATCGATTATGCATCGCGGTGCATAATATAATTTGCCCATAAAAATTCTTTAGAAATAATTTTTTTTTTTTATAAATTGAAAAAAATTAATTCTGAACACTTTTTTTTTTTTTTGAAAAATAAGATTTCTTAATTTACAAAAGAGGTTATATTGATTGGTGGTTTAATTCTTAACTAAGGGTGGGCAATTTATATCGTGGACCTTGGTTCACAGTGTACTGTGGACCTTGGTCGAGTCGTTATGCTGTGCATTTGTGTGCACCATGCATGGTGCACACGGATGCAAAAACGACGTCGTTTTGATGTCGATTTAAAAAAAAAAAATCATAATTGCATAACTACACATCCATAATTTCATAATTATACATCCAGAATTGCATAACTATACATTCAGAATTTCATAATTACACATCCATAACTTCATTACTATACATCCAGAATTGCATAACTACACATCCATAACTTCATAACTATAAATCCATAATTGCATAACTTCATAACTATACATTCAGAATTGCATAACTACACATCCATAATTTCATAACTATAAATCCAGAAATACATAACTATACATCCATAATTTCGTAACTATACATTCAGAAATTATGCACAACATAATGTTGTTGACGAGAATTGATGGGGAATATACCCCGGGTTCAGGCTCCTCGTACGCTCCGTGCTCCTGTTTGGATCGGGTCAAATGAGTTGGGTCTAGGTCCACGGGTCAAAGTCAAACCCGTCTCGGTTGCGCCTATAAAAAGGGCCTTGACCCTTCATTTTAGGAGTTTTTTCCCCTCTTCCTCCCTAGAGACTCTACTCTCTCACTTTGAGCTTTCCCCCTTCTCTCTATAAAAACCACAAGAACAACATATGAATAAAAGAAGCTTATTTGCTATATCTCTTCTTCCTTGTTCATACGCGGGAATTACCCGTATCAAGAATCAAAACTGATTTTTTTTTTTAAGTTGGACGCACGTTTTTAGTCAAAACGACGTCGTTTTTGCATCTGTATGCACCATGCATGGTGCACACGGATGCACGACATAATTTGCCACCCTAGTCCAATACATATAATTTGACTTTATAATGTACAAAATTCATGTTTGTAATGTACATAATTTATGTTCATAATACACATACACATAAACACAATATAATGAAGACACATAAACACTTAACATAATACACAGAATTCATATTCATAATGTACAGAATTCATGTTCATAATGCACATAATTAATGTTCATTATATCATGTTTGTGTATGTGTATTATGAACATAAATTATGTGCATTATGAACATGAATTATGTACATTATGAAGTCAAATTATGTGTATTGGACCAGGGTTCACAGTGTACTGTGGACCCTGATCCAGGATATAAGGATCCCTAAGGGTGTGTTTGGTTCATGAGTTTACACACTATGAGTGAGAATCAAAATCATAGTTAGTGTTTGGTTGACTACTTTTTAAAAAATAACTATAGAATTTGATTATCCCTTCAATTAAAAAATCATTCCCTAATTACAAATGGGCATTGTTATATCTTATTGGCAATATGATTTTTAAGTTTGATTAATGCTTTTAGATTTTTGTTTTGATTTTTTTTTAGTCATATTGATGCTTTGAATGTTATTATATTAGAATCAATTGTCTTAATTTATTATTTTTATATTTTTAAAACCTTTTTTCTTATTATAGGATCATACATAACCAAACATTAATATTGATAATCATTCCAATTACACCATACTACCAACATGCAAAATATTTTCACCAAAGCTCATTACCATTACTAAGAGCATCCACATTAGTTGGGGAGATTTGGGAGATAATGTAAGAGTGATTAGGAAAGAGAATGTGGGAGGGGAGAGAAAAAAAATAACAAAACAAAAATTGAAAAAAAAATAATAATAAAAAACTGCCGCGTCAGGCGCGCTGTCAGCGTGCCTGACGTGCTACACTGCATTGCACGCGCCCGTGTAGACATCAGTGTTGTTTTTTATTTTTCTTTTTTCTCTTTTTTTTTCTGACATTATCCTTGAATTTGCAGAGCAAATATTTTCACAAATAATCTCACCTCACATTTATTATTATCCCCACCCAAGATAATTCATCTGATAATATCTCTATAATATCCACTGATGTGAATACTCTAAATATTTAATTCTCATTCCAATTCTGATTCCCTTATACAAATCAAACACACCATAAGTTTTTGATAAAGTGCATTGTGGTTAGCAATTCAGCATATGATAATTGAATGGTACTTTTAAGTTTTAACCTCACTACAAGTCAAAGTACTTATAGGTGGGTAAAGTGACTAAAGTACAATCATAGTGGGGCGAACTATAATTTACTCAAAGTAATAGTACTCCTTAATAAATTGAAACACAAATCCTACAATTTTAGGGGCTTGATTCAAGCAATATGAGGTTATATATGATAATGTGGAAAATGTAATATTATATTACATTGCTTGATTTAAGTAATCTAAAAATTAAAGTAACATGATTCCATTTAATTTTACATTATATTTTAGAAAGTAATTTCATTACTTAGGTTAATATAATATTTCGTGAACCAAATACCACCTTAGAAGTAATATTAATCATTATTTATTGAAAAAGAAAATAAAATTTTAACCCCAAGTTATAAAATAATAGCTTATTTAATATTTGAATCCTTGTATTATAAGCAATACTATTTGCAATCATTGAGTTATCAACAAACGTTATTGCTATTACTTTTCAAAAATCCTAGTCAACTATGGTTATTAATGAAATTTCACATAAATTTTCTTTTGCATCTCAAATTACAGTCCAATTCTATCACTTATTGATTAGATACAAATCACACAATGCATGTCAATAATTGCTTTTGCACGTTTTTTTTTTTTTTTTATTAGCGAATTATATTGTTCATTTTTATATTTGACCCTTGTACAACCGTTACCAATCCTCTCTACAGTTATTAGAACCTATCTTGACATTTCGTTAAGATTGACGACCTTGTCTCTCATCAAGTTTATTACACATGTGTCACTCACTAACTCCATCTTGTCCCATCAATATCGAGTAGTTCAATTCATACAAATGGCCTAACCAACCACGACATATAGATACATGTGCCACTCAACAAAAGAAGCCCAATATATGTTTCATTGAGTACTCCATAAAAGCCGATGTATGTCTCTATAAAAGAAGACTGTCAACGTCGCCTTCTGTTTCGGAAGAAGAATGTGACGATCACGCTTCTTCCTTTGAGAAAGAAAGTGGCCAGCGTCTCCTTCTTCTCTAGGAAGAAGGCGACCGACGTTGCCTTCTTCAGTGACAACAATGTGACCGGTGATCATCGGTGGATAACTGGTTATTGGGTCTGGATGCATCAAAATAATAAATAGTGTATATTTGTGGTGAGTGTGATTTAAAGAGGAATCGTTAAATTTGAATGATTTGTTAATTGAAGGACCAACTATGTGACTTTACTTATGATTCAAAGATAAAAAGTAATAATATCTAGAGAAAAGGGTCAAATACACCCCTAAACATTTCACTAAAGGTCAATTAACCCCACAAACTTTTAAAAAGGTCAATTGAACACATGAACACACAATTTTGAGTCACTTGACCCCATTAACCGGTAACTTTTACCTGATGAACCGGTAATTGACACCGTGGCGTGACACATAAGCGTTGGAGTGGGTACTTGGCTGCCACATAAGCATAAAAAAGAATTAAATTAAAAAAAATTAAATTAATAAATAAAGAATTTAAAATCAGCCCTAAATTCTAATTCTTCTCGGCGTCTTCTTCATTGCGTTTCTTCACCGTGTCTTCTTCTTCTTCTTCTTCTTTGTACTCCATCTCACCCAGTACAGTGCTTCTGAAACTACTGCTCATTCCTTAAACAAATACAATCAAAATAAACAAATAAGCTTTTGAAACTACTGCTCATTCACCCTTCTTCTTCTTTGTACTCCATCTCACCCAGTACAGTGCTTCTGAAACTACTGCTCATTCCTTAAACAAATACAATCAAAATAAACAAATAAGCTTTTGAAACTACTGCTCATTCACCCTAAACATATAAAAAGCTTTAGTTTTCCATTCCCATAAACAAATTTGCGGTAGCATATCAGTGGTATGAAAAAAGAAATTTATACTGCTTAAAGAAAAAGAAAAAACCTAAACCCTAAAACTAGTGGTAGAAGAAAAAGGAAAAACCTTCAATGGTGATGGTGGTGCGACGAGGTGGTGGACCGCCGGAGTGGAGCGCCGAACGGTGGCGGAGGCTGTTGCAACGAAAAAGAATTAGAATGAAGAAGACGAGAAGAATTAGGACTAATTAGGACTAATTAATTCTTTTTACAATAATTTAGGACTAATTAATTCTTTTTAGGGCTGAATGAAGAAGACGAGAAGAATTAGAATTTAGGACTGATTTTAAATTCTTTATTTATTAATTTAATTTTTTTTAATTTAATTCTTTTTTATGCTTATGTGGCAGCCAAGTACCCACTTCAACGCTTATGTGTCATGCCACGGTGTCAATTACCGGTTCATCAGGTAAAAGTTACCGGTTAGTGGGGTCAAGTGACTCAAAATTGTGTGTTCATGTGTTCAATTGACCTTTTTAAAAGTTTGTGGGGTTAATTGACCTTTAGTGAAATGTTTAGGGATGCATTTGACCCTTTTCTCTAATATCTATAAAGTAACAACTAAACTTACAATTAGGGACCAAACTCCAAAAGTGCAAATTTCCTTATTATTTATGTCGTTTTAAAAAAACGCAGCTAACCACAAAATACAAATGCAGTTTCGCGGCTATTACCCTCAGAATCCATCTTTCTACTGCTACTTCTTCTCCTTCTTCTCGCTCACCCACCCCGCTTTGCGCTCCCAGAAACCCCATTTTAGTCTCTATATATCTGCCATTCCTGTCTATGCTCCCACTCGCCGCTCAATTTTCACTCACTTGTGCTGTCAAATTTGAATTTGATTCAGAAGAATCTTCAGACGCGTGGATTTTTCTATCCTGTAAGTAAACCAACTGTTATTTGTTTTCATTTTTCTTCGGTGCGTTTTTTGTTTTTTTTTTCCAAGTGTTTTGTACTGAGAATTTGATTTTTCTTTTTTCCTGCGTTTCCGTGAGCTTTTCCGGATCGTTTCTTTGATTTCGGTCATTTTAAATTTCGAGTTTTCTGTTTGAAGCATTTTTTGTAACTTTTTTTATTTCGATTAATTTCACTGCCAGCGTGTGTACTGCGTAGATTGGTTAGCGTTTTTAGCTGTTGGAATGGAATTTTCGAGCTATTGGGTTAATCGGATGGAACTGTAACGATTAACACAGTGGTTATTTAGTTTGAAGCTATTTTGTGTAACTTGAATTTGATGTGGGGGTGTACATATAGCTTATGTTGTGTTAATTTGATGAGCTTGGTTTCAGGTATAAAATTTGATTTATTAGAAAGTTTCACTTGAACTTTTGTGCGGATTTGAACTGTTTGAGGAGTTATCTGAAGGCCTGAGGCTCATCTTGATCCTTTTGAATTAGCTAGATATGGGCTACTGCATTGGTGGGTAATTAGGGCATATGATTGGAATTGTTTAAACTGAGAAGTTATGCTTGAAAAAAAATTTATGGAATTGCTACCTGCTTTTTGAACTTATGTAAAGAGGCCTTAGTGGTGAAAAAAAGCATATAAGATTCTGTTCCTAGTCTCTTCTTTAGTAACATTTTCTTTTTCTTCCCATAAACAATTGAATAAAGTGGTTTCAATGGAACTTTGCCAGAATGTGGATTCAAAATAATTAACTGTTTGGAATATGCTACTTGGTTTGAGTTTCTAAAATCTCAATGCATTCATCAAAATAATTACATGGTTGAGTTTCTACTAGTTTGACTTTTGATTTGCTGAAACTTTGACGAATGAGTATGACTGATCACTGATCACTGATCACTGATGTGGCTTTGTACTTTGCTTTTAACATGTCATGTGATTTTTAAAATTGGAATTTGCATTTTCTTCTTGGTATATCATTGCAGAATCTTAGTTATGGCCCCACCAAGACAACCAAGGAGCTTAAATAAACGACATTCTAATAGAAATGATGTCTCCCTGAGTAATGATGGAGATAGTTCTAAAAAGAACATGCAACGGGTAAGTGTTGTTAAGATTCTATTTCTTCTTTATGCATCTCAAATGGACTTTCTTTTGTCAATACATAGCACCTCAGATTTTACTATTTATTGGCAATATTTTCTTTCTATTTATGGATATGTGCTTAAGGCCAACAATTATGGATTCTTATGAAAGGTATTTTATATTCCAGTTTTGAAAATTATAATTTGCAGAGTTGTAATACCAATTTGCAGAGTTGTAATTTTGCACAATGATATGGGTGTAAATGAGCCAAACTCAAACAAAAAAGGGTTTTTTTGAGCTTGCCCGTTTAGCTTTTAAAGTTTTCAACTGTTCAAGCCCATTTGTTTACGAACCAAGCTATCATTGAACTGTATATGAGTTGTAAATAGATTAGGAGAGTCAATTTGTTTTTGTTGTTGTTGTTGTTTTTATTTATTTATTTATTTTTTTATATAATAGTTTTTTAGTTTTTTCCCCCAATTGTAATATTTTATCCCCCAATAACTTCATTTGCTGTTTTGTATTTGTATTGATCATATAAATAGCTTTAGAAAGAAGCATCTGAATGCATCTTGAATCAATAATTTCCTGTTAAATTGCAGAAGAGGAAGTATATTGACATGTTAGGTCCTCAATGGAGCAAGGAAGAGCTGGAGAGTTTCTATGATGCATACCGGGAGTATAATAAAGATTGGAAAAAAGTGAGCATTTTAGTTCCCACCATGTTTCTCTAACATTGGACTAGGTTTTGTTTGAATTAATTGGTCTAAGGTTAGTTCAGATCAGAGTATCACACTTGCATTTTTCTAGGTTGGTTCTTCCTGATTTAATTTTTTGTGGACCAAAGCTCAGTTTTTGCAAATGAAATCATTTCCTTTAGGTAATTTCTAAAGGGAAAAAAGAAGTGTCCTTTTTTACTAATGGTTTAATTTATCTCCTAAATAGGTTGCATGTATACTGGATTTTTTCACAATTCATGAGCAGTCAGGATTTTCCTATTCTTTTCATTAATTAATCTAGACTGGCATGTTTTTGCTGTGGTTAATCTGTGACTATTTACCTTAAGTGTTGTTTTGTATTTATTTGCAGGTGGCAGCAGCAGTCCAAAACCGATCAGTTGATATGGTGGAGGCTCTTTACACCATGAATAGGGTAAACATGGTTGTTTGAATGTGGATTGTGGACGGACAAGATAGTACCAAGAGTTTTGGGAGAAGAAGAGAACGGGGATGGGGGAGGAAAATAACTCTTATTCAAATATTCATTTTAAAAAACAATATTTATAGAAGGAAGACCAGTATATATACAGGCCTTCCAATGGGTCCTTATACATTCCATTCATGATTCAACTTATAAAACCTGCATCAATATTTATTTATTTATTTATTTATTGTACTTAAGATCCTTTCAATTACTGTCCTTAAATGCTGTATGCTGAGCATTGCTTGGTTTGCTTTTTCTTTGACTTTTGGAATGTTAATCTTCTGGTCATCTTGAACTTTCATTTTTATCAACTGTGAACAAAGAATGGCTGAATGGGCTTATGGTACCATTTATGTATATAATCCCTGCGTCACTGTTTTGTAACTCACATGCTGTTGTAAATTCAGGCTTACTTATCTCTTCCTGAGGGGATTGCTTCTGTTGTTGGGTTGATTGCAATGATGACTGATCACTACTGCAACTTGGTGAGATACTATACTTCAGAATACATTGAACTTTCACATGATTGGTACTGTATATAATATATATTATTTAATTGTTTAAGCCAATTGCTCCCCAGTCCCCCCCAATCTTCTGTTTTTCTTGCTTTTGAAAAAGTGAGGATTCTCATTGCATACGAGTGATAACAATTGTTTGAAATGTGGTGGAATGATTACCCTTCAATTGAAGTGCATCACAAATAATATCTTTTCAAATTGCTCATGGAACACACACACATTTTATGATGTTACAAGTATATGCCTTTTGTAATTGAGAAGTATTGGCAATTCTCGTTGTCATTGAGGCTTTCTAAACAAGGAAATTTATAAAGTATGAATGGCTCATTGCTTTCATGTTATGGTGACTGAGTAATTAATGTGTGTGATGACAGGTTGGAAGCGATAGTGATCAGGAAAACAATGAGGGTGCAGGAACAACTCGAAATCCCCAAAAACGCGCTCGGTGTAAAGTTCAGGCTAGTAAAGCATCTGATTTGCACCCTTCAACAGTTGCATCAGGTTATGATTGCCTGGCATTATTGAAGAGCAAATGCTCAAAAGGTTGTGCACCCTTTCCCCTGAGAAAACCAAAAAGAATAAGTTATTGTCTTCAAAGGAATCATGCTTTTACATTTAATGACCTGCCAATGCAAGTTTTCTCATGGATCAGTCTTTAGATGCATTGCACATGAGGATTTATGGGATTTAATTGAGTCTCCTTTCATGTTAAATTGAATTTCGAATTCCAAATTTCTTTCTGTTGCACTCCTTTGGACCTCTTCCGGCCCATAGTAGGACTATGGTTTACTTTATTGTTAATGGATTAATGCTGGGGTAATATTGATGATTCTCTGGAATTTTCTTTCAGGGGACCAGACTCGTGTTGTAGGAAAGAGGACACCACGGTTTCCAGTATCACGCTCTAATGAAAATTTTAAAGCCAAGAAGTATTTTTCTCCAAGTAGACAAGATTTGAAAATAAATTTAGATGCCCATGATGATGAAGTTGCACGTGAAATAGCATTGGCTTTAGCAGAAGCTTCACACAGAGGGGGTTCTCCTCAGGTTTCTCAAACACCTATTCATGGAACAGACAGTGCTTTGTCCTCTCCTGCTTGGACCACTGAAAGCAATGTAATGACTTTGATCTGAACTCTTCTGTTGCTTTCTTGTGCACAAATTTTCAAAAATACTTAACCTTGTTTGCTCACTTTTTGTCAACGCAGCATGCTAATCTGGAAATAGCCAATGCCAAGGTTCTCAGTAGTGAAATGGACAGAGAAGGAAGCATGGAAGTTGATACCAGAGAGTTATCTAGTTGTAGGAATTATTTGATGGAACCTGGAAGTGTTGGCAAAACAATGCAAAAAGGGAGAAGACTAAATGAGAAAAAGTTGAAAGCTGGGGAAAGTGGTGACTATAATTTTCATGATATCAAGGAAGTATGTAGTGGTACAGAAGATCATAGATTGGGTGCAGTAAGAAAGAAACATGAAATGGAGATTCTGAATGAAAAAGTTTCAAAGACTTGTTCACAGGGATTTAGAAAGAGGAGCAAAAAGGTTCTTTTCCAAAGAGGTGTGGTGATTTTTCTCCAATGCCTTTTTAAAAAAATTCATTTAACTTGTTTACATGTTTGCATGAGTTTATTCTTGGGCTTGATTTAGGATCTAATGGAGATATTCCAATGGCATGAGTTCTAAGAATTAGTTTATAAATCTGGCTCTTAATATAAACCAATGACATTCTTGGTTTCTGTACAAATTTGCTCATCCCTGATTCCTTCATTGAAAGATCTATTTTGCATAAAGCTTTTTCTTTATTTTGCCAATGCAAGGGATGTCTATTGTATTCAAATTAAAAAACATGAATTATGGGCTAAAACAAATACTTAGAACTGCTCTTTATACCCATAAATAGAATTTCGTTCATAATTTATGCAAGTATGAATTGATTGAGACAGCATCCAGTGATACATTTACTATAATAAGACTTATTAAATTATTACTCTCTATGTCATTTTACTTGTCATGTTTACTGTTCATTGGTCAAACCAACTCTTCTTTCTTTGTTTATTTTCTTTATCATTTTCTTATAAATTTTAAATTAAAATTTTTGTATTTAATAATATTTTTCATGTAGTTTACAAATATATACGATTATACGGAGTAAATTTTATATACTAACTCTAAACTAAATATTATGAAAAATTGAATTGTAAATAACTTGTGTCAAGTACTCAAGTCTTCTTAACTGACACATAAAATGAGACGCAGAGAGTATTTTAGATACTTTGTGGACCTTAGCATTCATGCCTTCTATGACTTAATGGTATAATATTTCCTCCTTTCATCAAACTTGTTGTCTACAGAATTGTACAAAAAGAGATTGCTTCACTTGAATTTCTGATTTTTTGATTCAAATCCAAAATTATTTTTCTATAATATTATCTTGTGGGTATTAAAGAGAAGTCATAAATCGTTGCAATCGTTGCACACTTCCTGCCAATGTTAACTTTCAATTATTATATACAGATGAAGGCTCTACCTTTGATGCTCTACAAACTTTGGCTGAGCTATCCCTAATGATGCCTGCAACAGAAAATGATGATGGTGAGGATAAACACATTTTCTCTTTTGACTTTTCAGCATTGTATTAACACTTGCAATCTGCAACTTAAGATTTCATTATTCATGTTTGTGCATCTCCATGCTTTCCCTTTTCTAATTAAAAAGAAATTTATTATCTGACTTTGAATACAGTAATACATCTTTCTTATTCTTGATGTTGAATGCTTGCCTAATTAAAAATGAGCTATGCAAAATGTGTAATTTCTTGGAAGTTTCATTTCAAATATTTGTCAGTGCCAGTTATATAGCACCAAGCTGTTGTTTATTTTCAGTTGCTTTTTTATTTTTTATTTATTTTTACTTTATTAGCAATTATGTGAGAATACATGAATTGGATATACGTGGTGTGCATCAGTGCCATCAAAAGATATTCAGGAAGCCATATCTCAACTTATGTTCTGAATCCTATGTTCTTTCCCCCTCTTTATCTGACAGAGACATTCTACTGAAACGTCCTGGCTTACTTTATCTGCTGCCAAATCTCAATAAAAAACCAACTTTTCTAAAATTTGTAAGCCTATCCTTCACATTTAAATGGCTTGTTTAACCCATTTCAAGTGTACTTTGTTTAAGGATGAAGAAGCTGCAACTTTTTTGCCATTGGTTTGCATAATCTACACAGTTTGCCCTGAAAAATCATTTGGCACTTCATATCATTAAGATTTTGTGTGCTTTGAATCATTGTTCCCTTTGGATTTGCATGATGCATCTGCAACAGTGTTCTTACTCCTTTATTGTCATTCAAGAGTCAACGGACCAGGTCAAAGATGAGAATAATCATAATGGTGAATCTGAGTCCTTAGAAGCTATTCCTAAAAACCTTCCAAGGGATAACTGTGGATCATCAGGGGTTAAAAGTAAATGGAGTCGACGCATTTCGGGAATTGTAGTTGCTTCTAGTAAAGCATCAAAACATGTAAAGGTTTCATGTGGTGCTATTGCTTCTCCTGAAACAACGGAGGTGAGGAAAACACCAAAAAAGTTGGTATCTAAGGTAAGATGGGATATAAGTCGTCCAATAGTAAATAATTGATATTTTCAACAATGTTCTTTGTGATAGAATTGAGTAAAATTTTGAAGCCTTTTATGCAGATGCAAACAAGTGAAGCTTGTCCCAGTAATTATCTCTCTGAATCTCAGGAGTATGAGGTATCTATGCTTTTTTTGAAAAAAAATTGTTTTCTTATTGATTAATTTTTTTTTTACATATTTTCTTTTTGGAGCTTAGTTGAACATGATGTTTAAAATTATTGAGACTTCCAGTTAAGCTTGATCTATGAATGTGTATTAAGTATAGCAGTTAATATAGCAGCGTTTTTTTAAGTCTCTAGATTTCTGTTGGCTTTGAGTTTCTTCATTTCTTGTAGGACTCGTGTCAAATATGAATGTCTGATAATCTAGGACATGGAAGTGTCTCTACTTGATGACACAAGGATGGTATGCTATTAGAAATATGGGCTATTTGTCCTTTTTAAGTTAGGATAGTATATATGAAAATGAAAAAAGAAGTTTAGTGGGAAGAAAGTGGACACCATGTTGGCACAGATTAAAAAAAAAAAAAAAATCTATGCACGACACAGAGCATTACACTTATGGAAAAAAAAAACAGAAGAAAAACTTAGTATTATGCCTTAATGAGTAACTTCATGAACTGAGTTTTTTGGTCTTCTTTGCTTTGAAGTAGCTCTCTCTCTCTCTCATTTTATTTTTATTTTTGGGCTAACTTTGAGCTGTCCATGCCTGTTATATTTTAGCTGATTCTGAAGCTTTTAAAAACAACCAATTTGACATGATTCCATTTTCGTATAGACAAAGGAGGCACCAAAGAAGTTGATCAATAAGGGTAAAAGGTCTTCTCAAAATGCAACACCGAAAATTACAAAGAATAAAAAACATTCCGTAAGTGCTGACCCAGGGATTAATGGAAGTGATTCAGCTCAATCAATTGCCGAAATCCCTGCACCGGACGGGGCTACCTTGTGTACTAAAGTCAGAAGCAGGCGTAAGATTGAACTGAAGAAACCACAAAAGCAAAAAGATTTGATGCTTCCTGATAAAATTTTGGATGACAACAATGACAGACCCTCTGCTTCAGTCCATGACAATGTGTCCAATCTCAAGGTTTGTTGATTCATGTCATATTATTTTGTTTATTCTTTGAACTTTATTTTAATTATTCATGCATGTTCTTTTAACAATAATTGTATTGCGTTCAACATGGCATGCAGAAAAGGCTCTCTAATTGTCTTTCTGATGATCATGTACGGAAGTGGTGTATGTTTGAGTGGTTTTACAGTGCAATTGATTATCCTTGGTTTGCTAAAAAGGAGTTTGTTGAATACTTGCATCATGTTGGATTAGGGCATGTCCCAAGGTTAACTCGTGTTGAATGGAGTGTCATAAGAAGGTATTTGTATTCTATTGCTTAACATGAGATTTTGTGAACTTCTTATCAACTGATTATTCTATAACGGATCATTTTTGAGAATGGTGGTGCAGTTCTCTTGGCAAACCACGGCGATTTTCTGTGCAATTCTTGAAGGAGGAAAAAGAGAAGCTAAATCAATATCGTGAATCTGTTAGAAGACATTACACCGAACTATGTGAGGGTACCAGGGAAGGATTACCCACTGATCTTGCAAGGCCATTATCAGTTGGACAACGCGTCATTGCAATCCACCCTAAGACAATGGAAATTCATGATGGAAGTGTGCTGACAGTTGATCATTCCAGGTGCCGGATTCAGTTTGACCTTCCTGATCTTGGGGTTGAATTTGTCAAGGTAATGCATCTTTCAATATTGAACTTAGTGCTATAAAGTTTTGAACTCTGTAAATATTTGTCATTGGATTTGAAAATTTTAATTTTAGACCATAATCTGAAACTTATTAATAAAAATTATAATTAAATTTGGAATTGTTGTCATAACTCATATATTTAGCTGATTGCGTCACCAAGAAATTGGGGATGACTCATCTGACTTTTAACATTGGTTGAATTTCATATTTGACCCTAAAGTACAATGGCAAACCACATTTTTCTTGCACAATGCTTTTCCAATCAATGACAAGGTTTTCTTAAATCTTAATAGAGTTGAGTGACAGAATCTTCTCCAATTTAGTGAAGCTTTTATGTATATATAGTTGCTGGGATACGATAAACCTCTGGATTTGAAATTTCCTCTTATATACATGTGATTGGCCATAATTTAGAATAATAGTATACTCACATGTATATAACGTCCTTTGACATGAATACTGAATTGTTTCTTTTGCTACTATTGTTTTTTATTTTTAGAAGATAGCTTGATGCAGTTCTTTATGCTTTGGCAGGATATTGATTGCATGCCCCAAAATCCATATGAGAACATGCCTACATTACTCGCTAGGCACATTGATGCCTTGGACTTGTCATTTGAGAACACCCCCAAGCACAAAGTGAAAGCTCAATCAAATGAGAGTATGAAATTCTCATCAGGAGTTCTGGAGAATGGTGATGGTTTCCTTAATTTATCTCCAATGAATTTTGCCATTAACAATCTGTTAACACAGACAAAGGTCAGCATTATACCTCTTCCTTTTTCTTCTTTAGTAACTCATATCGCGAGGATATCTTGTGTCCATAAACTTGAATGTGATAAATGACGAAAAAGATTCCTAAATTCTAAACCTTCTGGTTCGTATAAAGGCAGGAATAGAAACTTGTTGCATTATTTTAGAGGGATTTTTGTTTAGAAAGTCAGCAATAATCTGGAAGCATTTGGCTCAATATAACCTTGTAAATATTTCATCCTCACACCATGCTGGCCTATTCCACTTTTCCTTCTATGGTTATTCTTATGAAGAGTTGTGAGGGACGGGATATTCATGACACCCTGAGCTTCACTTGGTGGGAATCAATATGTTTGCACTAGCATTATAAGTGCTGGTTGAGTGAAGGAAGCTGTGATGGATCATCCCATAGTTAATGAATATCTGTTATAACCTTCTAAACTAGGTGACAACATCAAGTGCTGACTGGCAATCAAATATTGGGACAATGGAACCTGCCACAGCATATTCTCAGCCTAGTAAAATGGCTCAGCATCAAGCAAAAGAAGCTGATGTTCGTGCTCTTGCTGAGCTGATGCATGCCCTTGATAAAAAGGTTATTGATTTTTAACTTGTTACTTTTTTGCATATGTTGATGTTTGACATCTGTTTCTTTTGTGTTGTGCCAATACTCCTTGTATCTCTCAAAAGCAATCAATTTGAAAAAATTCACAGGTTTGAGAAACCATATTTATTTAATGTACTGTTAAAATAAAATAATTGTATCACCATTCTCTTCATCCTTGACTCCAATTTAAGACCGGGGGGTGTTGTTGGAAATCATTCCAGAAAAAAAAAAAAACATTTTCTTTAGTACAGATATAAGGAACAGTTTTCATGGGACAACCCAAACAAAGCTGAAAGCAGAATGGTTTTTGGAGGACAGGACTGGTATATCACTGATTAATTTACTCAGGCATCTCTTATGGCCAGTTTGGTTCACAAGAAAATATTTTCCTGGGATAATCTTACCTTGTTTGGTTGATGGGAGAATTTATTCCATGGAAAATGAATTCCTCAAATTCCTTGCTCTCCTTTGGTATTTTATTTTCCACACCTTTTGGGAGAAAAGATACAACATAAATTCCTATATTACCCTCACATATCTTTATTATTTATGGGCATTTGAGTCGTTATACTAATTATTCCCAATAACTTATTTTCCATCAACCAAACAATGGAATCAATATTCCAAGTAATTTCTTTTCCATGAAGAGGCTGTTAGTGTTTGGTTGTTTGCAAGTGGATGACTGCAATAGGTAAATGTCACTCACTGTCAAATGCTTCATTGTGTTTTCCTTGTCTCTTACTAGCATTCGCATTTTATCTAGTTGATTATTTATAAGAGTTTAGTATTAATGTGCAACATAGAAGATAGCTCATGGGCTTTGATTGAACATTTAGCATGCTGTGATCGCTGAATTGAGGCACATGAATGATGATGTGATGGAAGATCAAAAGAGCAGTGACTGCACTCTTATGGACTTGGAGCCTTTCAGAAAGCAATATGCCACAATAGTATTACAGTTGAAGGAAGTAAATAAACAGGCATGTGGTCAACATTTTGATGAGATTACATGCTACTTTCCTTAGGTGGAATTTCTTGTCACTACACTAGCTGCTAAACCTGTTTTGCTTGGCAGGTTTCTTCTGCTTTGTTTCATTTGAGACAAAGGAACACATATCAAGATAACTTGTCACCAAGGCCCGTTGCTAATTTTTGTGATCCTGGTGATATGTTGAACACTTACGACCATTATACAGGCCAAGCTCAGGAACCTGGATCACATGTCAATGAGACTATTGAAAGTTCAAAAATAAAAGCGCGGATAATGGTGGACTCTGTTTTGCAGGTATAGAAACTCTTGCTTAAAGGCTTATACTTTGGATGGGCACTATGATATGGCTAATGTTGGATAGGCACTCAGAGGATAACTCTTAAGTAGGACACACTTCTTTTAATCAACCACAGCATCAATCCTGAAACCTGTATCGACTTTTCGTTGTTGTTTTTCAAAGCCCTATTTTATTACACCTTGTTGCACGTAACCTCTCGTAACTACTCTTGGCACTTTTTGCAACAATCCTATGCAAGTGTTATTTTCTGTCCAGGAATTTAATGGAATGGAGAGCACTACAGAGAATGTGGTGGGTGCTATAGATTATCTAAACAATCAGATTCCACAATATCATTCTTGCTTGTTAGCTGTAACATATTTCATATTTCAGCATACTTACTAGCTACTCTGATCCTCCGATTAATTGATTTTAAAATATTGTATTGTTGTAGGCCCCTGATTCTACTCTGAACAGACCTGTGAATGGAAACGAGGCAGATATCCCTTCAGAGCTGATTAGTCGATGTGTTGCAACTTTTCTTATGATTCAGGTAAACCATTGTGTGTGTATCAAATGTTGTGATTCCCTCGATCCCATTTTGAAGATTTTTTTTTTTTTTTTTTTTTTTCTCGGTCTGACTTTTGTACTACTCGATAATAATTGCAGAAGTGTACAGAAAGAGAGTTTCCTCCCGCAGGGGTGGCCAAAATACTGGATTCTGCAGTTGCAAGCCTGCAGCCGCGTTGTTCACAGAACCTCCCGGTTTATACTGAAATTCAGAAGTGCATCGGAGTCATAAAAAACCAAATATTGGCACTCGTACCGACATAGAATGTAACTCTTTTAGGTTTACAAGGTAGAGGTAGATAAGTTGGTAAGCTTGAATGGTGATGAATGCATTAGGTATTCTTCTCTGCGTTTTTCCTTAAGTTCAGTCTAATGCTGGGCTCATTTTTGTTTACTGAATTCTGTCAAAAGACAGGGAAGAGGAGGGTGATATGATCAAATTAATGTTGTTATAGTTTAACATTTATCTCCAAATGTCATAATCAATTTTAAGTGCAATAGTTCATAGCATATGCTCATTGATATTTGCTAAGTTGAGTTAATACTACTTTCACTTTCTATTTTTGGTTATCAATTTTCAAATTTAACAGATTCAGTACTTCATTTAAAAAATTTGTTGCTATAAAAGACTATTTTGGTAAAAAAAATATGGAGTTAGTTGCCTTGCTTTGCCTATATGTAAATTAATAAAAGTGTACTGTCATTATAAACTTATCTTAAAGAAATGCTGTATATATCTAGGAAATTGTTGTTGAGATGTTGCTTTCACACTGCCGTTGGTGAGACTTGATCTTTGGTCTCTTATGTGACAAATCTTATCTCTGCGACCAATTGAGTTATCTATGCAAGTTAATTTTTGCATACTTGCATTATGGTTTTAAGTTGGAGTTTGAAAATAGAGATTTAGATTGATTAAATGATATTTAAATTTATATTTATTAATGTCAAATTGTCAATGTGCTAGTTTGTTAAAATTGAAAATTTAGAATTTTAATTTGAAAATGTCAAAATTTTTAGTTAAGTTTGCCTAATATAGTATGATGCTTTAAGTAGGGTTGTCAAAGTGGGTCGAAGCTTGCACCCGCCTCGCAGTTGAATAGGTTAGGGTCGTAAAAAAAGATGGCCCGTGAAAAAGCGAGTCTAATGGGCCTGACTTGCTAAGACTCGCAGCCCGAGCAAGCCCTATAAAAGAAATATATATACATATATATGTTACACACTTACACTTACACTCAGTGGAGGCGTTATTGGTTCTTTGTGTTTCAGTAGGTTGAGAAAGTATATGAACAGATACTACAATGTAATAGAGCCAGTAGCTTTCAAAAAAAAAAAAAAAACACAACAAGGCAGTACGCTATCTTGCTATGTAACATTTTAAATAGGGAAAATTGCATCTTTAGTCCCTGAGTTATAACCAAGTTCTGACTCAGTCCCTAAGTTATGGTCGTTTCCGAGTTTAGTCCCTCAGTTATGAGCAAAGTGGCAAGTTTGGTCCCTAGCGTTAATATTTTGTCTACAGCTAACAGAAAACTTAAAAACAATTTAATAATAGAAGGGTAAAATATGAATTTCAAATTATAATCCTCTTTTTGTGTTGAAACTCGTTGCGCAACAGTCATTCTTTTCTTCTTACACATACAATTGAAGGTTTTTTTCTTCCCCAAGCTCTGAAATCTCCCACTTCCGTTAGACATAAGAAGAAAATAATGATGGTTGTGCAATGAGTTTCAACATAAGAAGAGGATTATAATTTGAAATTCTTATTTTAACCCTCTATTATTAAATTGTTTTTAAGTTTTCCGTTAGCTGCTGACAGAATATTAACGCTAGGGACCAAACTCACCACTTTGCTCATAACTGAGGAACTAAACTCGAATACTGCCATAACTTAGGGACTGAGTCAGAACTTGGTTATAACTCAGGGACTAAAGATGCAATTTTTCCTTATATATATATATATATATATATATATATATATACCATTTTTAAAAATGTAATTTTTTTATTTTTAAATATAAAAAATAATATTATTTGTAGACTTATTTTTTGAAATTTAAATTCAACAAAAATAAAAAAAGTCCTCGGGCTCATCGACCCGCGTGGGGTGGGCTAGGGTTGCACCATAGCTCGTGAACCTAGTGGGCTGATCCGCAAAAGCTCGCTAGAAATTATGTCGGCAGTGGAACGGGCGGGCTCGCTTTGACATTACTAGACTTTTAAGGTTAAAGCCAAAAAAAATTTAGCCAAATAAAAAAATTAGTCTAATAGCCCAAAATTAATAAGTCACCAAGTTAAAAGAACATGAAAGCTTAGAGCATGACCAATGGTGGTTTTTAAGGGTATTTGCTATGTTGGAAGAGAGGCAAATTGATGTGGTAAAAGAGAAAAATCATGTTTTCCTGCAATAACTTGGGTTTTTCGATTAAAAAATACAAAACATAATAAAATGAATGCAGGTCGGGGGCACATGATCTTTTTGTGCTTACTTGGCGATTAGAGTGATCACCAGACTAACAACCACTCTAATTATACCCTTTTTACATTTTTTAACTTCTATTTTCTTATTTAGAATATGGGCAAAAAATAAAAATAAAAACTCACTATTTGCCATGCTCTTTCAAGAAATGTGGTTTTTCTAAAGCTTTAGATTCTTGAAACTTTTGAGATGTACCCTTTGGTATATGATGGTTTCATCAAACAAGATGGTAGATGTAGTAGATTTTCTTGTCAACCAAATCGGATTTTAAAAATAACTGTTCATTATGAGATGTAGTTTATTGGTAATATATACATTGATAAAAATACTATGTAGCAACGTTTAGTGGTCCAAGTTAACCATGGTCCTTTAACTATCTTCCATAGGATCACGATTGGTCAAATTTTGAAAGTTGAAGGATCATGGGTAGTTAACAATTTGAAAGTCAAGAACCACGGGTGATCAATATGAAAGTCTAGAACTAAACGTAGCAAAATCACTATACTTGGAGGGCCCCATGTGGCATTAATTCGGTAATGTTACGCTCACAAATGAAAACCAGAAGAACACTTCACCAAGACAATCATCTTTAAACCTTATAACTCTGAAACTAGACACTGCATTTCATATTTGTAATTGGAGAGTCTCTCCCCATGAGCATCCTGCGGGCTGCACTATATTGCAACTTGCATAAATGGATAGTATCCATTTTGCTTATAGCATCCCGTACTCGTGAAACTAATCTGAATTCGACTAGAGCCATACCCGCAGAGTTTTGACTCTTACATAAGGGATGATGATATCCATTTGAGTACATTCCTACATTGCAATGCAACTTGCACAAAAGGGTAGTGTCCAAATACGTCATGCTATACGCGATTATCTCCATCTTACATGTAGATTTTAGGGAGTTCAGCAATCGTTATACCATGAACCATGGAATATAAGGTTCATTTTTAATATACTGAAGGTTCATTTTTAATACATTGAATGTTCTTTTTGTGTGAGTGTGTATTGGCCACCAAATAATGAACCTTCAATACATACAAAATGAACATTCAAGCTTGGTTGGCGTGAGTGGCCGTGCATTCTAATCCCTTAAGAGAAGTCGGGAGTTCCAAGTTCGAACCCCCTCTCGTATGGAAAACCCTATCTGGCCAGCACTTTGTCCCTTAATTGGGCCGACTCGGTACAAATGGGGATTAGTCTGAGTATGGTACGGGCTTAAAGGAGCCTCCTATAGTTAGAGTCCCTATGTTCCTGTGACTCAGCTAAACCACCAAAGCTTTGACAAGCCACTTTTCTCTTCATATGTATGAAAAAAAAGATTACTAGACTCATAAATGTCTAGTACTTAGGATGTTCACCTTTCTCAATCTCAGATTCTCAACTCAAGAATGCAAGAACTATCAACAGATACCTCAAAGATTTGCAATCCGTACGCATACTTCAAGAACTTCATCACCGATAAATTTTGTGAAGTTGGTAGATAGGAATAATCCCACAACACTTCAACAATTAATTTAAAGAATTTTCAGTTTTCTTGGTGAACAAATAGCAGAAATGCAATAGGATCAGATAATGTTGGCAGGATTAAAATATATCATGAGAACGTATTAAAACGGGAAACAAAACACAAAGGTATCTGCAAAATACTAAATACTATGCTATGTATCAACAAAATTAGAAGAGAGAGATCCGAGTTAGAACCAAGTAAATTTCACATCAATTGCATCACCAACGTGAGAGGACCTGAAAGTTGTTCCAATTCAAACAATACACTCGAAAAAAGAATCAAGGTTATATTTTATTTTTTCTAAGATAAGTTCTTAGCAGGTACATTCTAACCTGCAACGAAGTTTCGTATATACCTTCAATAGCTCAGAAGCTTCACTTGTATGAAACTCGATGTAATTTTTCACAAATTTCTCTTCCGAAGCCATCAGCATAGTTAACAGATTAAGGTCATCCTTAACCAAACCCTTTGCCAGCAGAGTTCGATAAACCAAACACCTAGGAGCAATCCTTTTCTCCAAGCTTAACGAAAGAAGCACGGGTCTCTTGAGGAGTACAGATCTTTCGAACCCCATTTTGTTAACGAGGAAATCAACCACAGCTACAATCTTCTCCGTCGAAACCATCATACACCAAGGATGCTTCTCGAAAGTTTCAAGAATCTCGGCCTCAGAAAACCCGCATTTCTTGTAAGCCTCCATCTTCTGTGACCAAGTGACCTTATTCATCGTCGCGAAAGCCTTGATTGCCAGAACAAACATCACTTTTAACGGGTTAAACCCCATCGCCTTCACATCCTCCACGATCTTCCCAAACTTCTCCTTATCCGTATGAAAAACCCTGGGGCAGTGCTTCAACAAATTCACGATATTCGACTTGGGCACACCTGCATCTCCCAGAAGCCGAATATTACACTGCAGATGCTCAAAATTTAAGTTGCGCTGGAATGTCTTCATAGCCATTACAGTGTTGCTACTTGAACCAAACATACTATTCAAGAAATCAAAAGTGGGGGCCAATTTATTCTCCACACTATTCCAGAAAATCTGAGGGGTTGTAGTGAGTAAATCAATCAAGTCTTCCTGGGAAAGACCAGAAGACTTGAAAAATTCAATCTTTGGCAAAAGGGTCTTCTCCGGATCACATAAGAGGACAGGGGGGAACCTTCTGACCATGTTTGAGATCTGGGATTCTGTGAATCCATGGTTTCTCAAGAATGAACGCACAGAGTCTGGCTTATCTGGGGTTTCAAAATTCACGTACCGGGAAGCTCTGAGAGCTCTTTCTTGAGCAAACCCAAGTTCGTTTATGAAGTAAGAGCAAGCAAATGAAGCTTTTCTTGCAGTTGCAGAACTGGATTCAAGAGCTATTGATGATGAGAATGGAGCAAGTTGAAGAAAACATAGTCCCTGAGTGAGGGGTGAAATTCTAACAATTGAAGACCTCCCATTATGAGCAAAGATTTTGCATACGAAATTTAACATTTGAAGTAATACAGAATGAGCAATTCAAAGTTCTCACCTTCCTTCACTTGAATCCAGATTCATTCAAATTTGCATTGCCTTCAAAACCCTTCCCAGAAGCCTCTCAAAGTCCTTAATGAAATTTCGTTTTCCCTCTTTTTTTTTTCTCCCTATTTTGCCCTGTTATTATTATTATTATTATTATTATTATTATTATTATTATTATTATTATTATTATTAGGGAAAATGGCACTTCTTCCCCCTAAGTTATATACTTATAGCACTTTCTCCCCCTCAATTATTTAAGTGACTGTTTTTCTCCCTAAAATGTTAAATGGACATATTTACCCTTAAAATAAATATTTCATTTATTTTCATTCTCCAACAAATTATGACAATAATTTGGTTCAAACCAAACAAACACTATAGCAACCAAACCGAAATATTCCAATTACAATTTAGAATCGAAACTCGATATTTAGAGTTTATTAAAATCGCGAACCGGAACGGACGATTCATATTCCGAACTGAAAAAATAAAATACATTTATTGTTGAATTTAGACTATTTAAAATAAAAAATAAAATTTTAAAATAAAGATGGTTCAAAATCGCGAACCGGATCCAGAACCGCCGATTCACGATTCAAGATCCAATTTTTTTATTCATAATTTTAATAAATTGAAATCCAAATATTAGGTTCTAGATCTGAATCATAACCGGAAACTTTTAATTCAATTGCTATAGTGTCCGGTTCAGTTTGATCTGAACCGTGGTCATCCCTACGTATACGCGATAATTTGTTGGAGAAGTAAAATAAATAAAATGTTTACTTTAAGGGTAGAAATGTCAATTTAATATATCAGGGGGAAAAATCACCACTTTTTAAATAATTGAGGGAGCTAATGTGCTTACCTAAATAATTGAGGGGGAAAAATGACTATAAGTATATAACTAGGGGGAAAAAGTGCCATTTTCCCTTATTATTATTATTATTATTATTTTAATCCCTCTACTCACAAAAATCTGTAATGGTCTTATTGAATCAGCTTATCAGCCCACTCCAAACTGGAGCGTTATGATGACAATTTATATTCTGCACCAGGGCGCGCATTGCATTGTGCGTTCTGATATAAAACAGCATCGTTTTATTTTTTTTGTTGAAATTTCGCTATTATTCTTCCAAAAAAGCTTAACCCCAACCCTAAGGTCCCCCCACACCCCGACCTGACAGAGCATTTATGTTTACGGTTAATTTTCTTTAAAAAAAATTTCATGTTCAAAAATTTACATAATTTTATACTAGAATACACATAATTATATACATGAATGTACATAATTGTATAACAAAATACACATACTTTTTTAAAAAAGATAATACATATAATCTAATATAATACATAATATACATAAACTTTTAACATAATAAACATCAACTCTTAACATAAAATTTCATGTTTCGGATGTACATAATTGTATAAAAAAAGATGTATATGATTGTATAAAAAATGTACATAATTGTATAAACAAATACACATAATTTATAAACAAATACACATAATCGCGTCAACTCCCTACATAACTTACCAAAACGACATCGTTTTGGGAGGCGCGAGGTGCACAGTGCTACGCGCACCGTGGTGCAGGGTATAACGATTGTGTTATGCTTTGCAACCATGTGCACCATGCAATGTGCACATGAAATTGGATCCATAATTTCTATACTATAGATCCATAATTTCTATACTACAAATTCATAATTTCTATACTGTAGATTCATAATTTCTAAACTGTAGATTCATAATTTCTAAACTGTATAGTTATCAAATTATGAACATATAGTTCAATGATTTGTGAATACAGAGTTCAACAATTGGGAATATGAACATTGAAAATTATGAACATAGAGTTTTGTAATTGTGAATATAGAGTTCAATAATTATGAATTTATAAAAGTATAAAAATTATGAATCTATAGTATAGAAATTTTGGATCTATAGTATAGAAATTATGGATCCAATTCGGTGTGCACCATGTGTACAACATAATTTGCCAAACTAGGTTACAATCATAGGTAACGCAATCGTTGCATCATGGTGCACATAGCACTGTGCGCCCCGCGCCTCCCAAAACGACGTCGTTTTGGGAGGTGCTGTAGGGAGTTGACGTGATTATGTGTATTTGTTTATACAATTATGTACATTTTTTATACAACTATGTACATGTTTTTTATACAATTATGTACATCCAAATCAGGAAATTAAAAAAAAATGTGTATTTTGTTATATAATTATATACATTTATGTATACAATTATGTGTATTCTAGTATAAAATTATATACATTTTTTAACATAAATTTTTTTTAAAAGATAATTAACCGCCAACAGGGGGCAGCGAAAATTTTGTTAAAAAAAAAAAAAAACAAAAAAACATCGAAACGACGTCGTTTTGCATTAGGACGCACAATGCAATGCGCACCCTGGTGCTCGATATAAATTGCCTAGGTAACGCACTCAATAAAACAAATGAAGAAATTGGACCACTACGAAAGCCCCTTTTTAATTTGGGCTAAAACAAAAGCCCAATAGGTGGTTGTTCAATAGTTATGCAGTGCAACCGAATGCACCATGCACATAGTACATACGATGCAAAACGATTTTATTTTGACTAAAAACGTGCGTTCCACTTAAAAAAAAAAAAAATCAGGTTCGATTCTCGGCAATAGCATTATTGTGGATATATAGTTATGAATTTCTGGATATATAGTTATGAATTTTTGGATATATAGTTATGAATTTATGGATATTTAGTTCATTCATTGTGGATATTTAGTTCATTCATTGTAAATATTTACTTCATTCATTCACTGTGGATATATAGTTATGAATTTATGGATATAATAGTTATGAATTTATGGATATATAGTTATGAATTTATGGATATTTAGTTCATTCGTTGTGGATATTTAGTTCAATCATTGTGGATATTTAGTTCATCCATTAGGGATATTTAGTTCATTCATTGTGGATTTTTACTTCATTCATTCACTGTGGATATGTAGTTATGAATTTGTGGATATATAGTTATGAATTTATGGATATGTAGTTATGAATTTATGGATATATAAAAATGATATTGCTGGGAATCGAACCTGATTTCTTTTTTAAGTGGGACGCGCGTTTTTTAACCAAAACGACGTCGTTTTGCATCGTATGCACCATCCGCATGGTGCATTCTGTTGCACAGCATAATTTGCGGTGGTTGTTGGCAAATTATGCTGTGGACCCAGGTCCACCTTCAAAAACGGTATCGTTTTGTTTCAAAAAGACGCTGTCTGAATTTAAAAAAAAAAAATTTACTTTCTTCCTTGCTGTTTGTCTTCAGAATTCGTTCCTCTAGATTCACAATTTTTGAATTCTGCATTCACAATTTTAGAACTCTATATTCACAATTTTAGAATTCTATATTCAAAATTTTTGAACTCTATATTCACAATTTTTGAACTATATATTCACAAAAAAAAAAAAAAAAAAAAAAAAGTAAATATCATTGGCTGAGGAAACGTTGCCGCTAATGACACCGTTATTCTAGACACGCAAAGCTGCATCGTTTAGGACCTGGGTCCATGGCATTACAATGGGTGGTTGTTCTGGAGAGATATGCAACCACCACCGCATAACAATTGTTAGATCATGGACCATGATCCACATTGCAAGGGTTGTTATATATTTATTAACAATATACATATTGTTAATAGAATGAATATTTCAAAAGATTTACGAAAAAAATATTATTTACCCTTTAGTGTTGTTAAAGTTTTATGGAACAAAGCAATTGTTTAACTTTTAGTAAGTTGTTAAAGTCTGAACTAGGGTATATTAGCAGGATCTAGTTCACTTCTCTGCTATGAAGACTGAAGACTGAACTGGACAGATTGTTCGAAGTGTTGTTCAATACAGTTGCAGCCACTGAGAGTTTTACGAGATTCAATTATTTAAAGGTTATCTCAATCTCCTTGAAGATTGATCAAGAATTTTATAGATATAGACTTCTACACATTGAGATTGATACAAAGCTAAATGGATGACTTGACTACTCCTTTGTGCTAACAAAAAATCAACATCAAGTCAATTTCTCCAACCTCTTATAGGCATAATATCCCTTTGGAATTGACGGAGTCATTCAAGCTGCAATTGAGGGGGATCGTCAATTCTGAAGATCAGGAGATCGAAGCCAATTCTTCATTGAGGGAGTTCTTCAAACTAGCTAAGTCTTTAGCGTTACTCTATTGAATCCTTCTTGTAATTCTCGTTGATTTAGTGAATCGCGTTCTTGGAATTAATGGAGAATTGGGCAGTATTTTCCATGGGATGCCCACAAGGTGTAGGAGTATGCGTACTTTGAATTCGGTTACCAAACCTTGCGTCTTGTTTACTACTTTCATTTGGTTGCTTGTGCTTTAATTTGTGCATACTTCGTTAGTCAGATTGTGTAGGAACTAGTTATGTGTTTATCTGTTTGAGTGAATGTGTGATAAGTTCATGTGCGATAAGTTCTTGTTGAGTTTGTTACTATATGGTTTAACACATCCTTAGATCATTCACATGTAATCAGACTCTTGGCATATTGCCATGAATTTCATATATATATATATATATATATATATATATATATATATATATATATATATATATATATATATATATATATAGTCAGGTTCCTATGAGAACAGACCTTCCCATGCGGTCAGTGCGGCATACACCATTAGGTATGCATAAATGCACCACACAGTGTTCGAAAATACACCATTATGTGTGGTGCATTTTTTGACATTTCATTCTGGTGTATTCTCAAACACTGTATGGTGTATTTATGCATACTTAATGGTGTATGTCGCACTGACCACACGGGAAAACCTGTTTTGACAGGAACATATATATATATATATATATATATATATATATATATATATATATATATATATATATATATATATCATAGTTCATGAATCATATAGTATCATAAATTTAAGTTGTCATCTCTAATTTTTTGTATGATGCATGGTAACAGGGCGGTATGAAGGCAGAGAGCATATTCCATGTTCCCGTCATAACATTGCCTCACTCTCGTCCTCGTTCGTGTTCTCACGGGAAAT